AAAAAAAAAAAAAAAAGTTCATGTGGCTAATCCCAGCACAAGAAACTGAAGCAAAAAGATGCCTAAATTCAAGGCCAGCCTGTGCTACATGTCATGTCAGAGCAAATGTCAGTCTAGCCAGGTATATGCATCAACCCCCCAAAAGCAAACAAAAGTTAAAATGTGTTGTTTTGTGAATGAACACAGTACAGTGGATTAAACCCAGGGCCTCATGCTGGCTGAGGAAGTGTTCTATCACTAAACTACATCCTCAACATCTGACTCCTCGGGTCCTTCATTCTGTTAACTGAACTGAACTTTTAGCATCTCCAGCAATTAGCCAGCAATCAATTAGCAAGAGAGGCTCATTTTATAGACAGAACAAGGGAGACTCAACCCTAGGACCTGCTGCTATTGCTTCAGCATCCTGTCACCCTACAGACAAAGGATTTTAATTAAACTTAGAGCTTTCCTCGACTAATTGAGAATGACCAATCAGTTTGCTAATCTAAAAATATCCTGGACACCACCTGATCCTTCTAGCTACTGACAGGTAAGGTGCATCCCACTCCTCAGCACAACAGCCAATGTGCACGTCTCCAGCCAGAGACAGACCTCAAACATCTGCATCTATCCTTCTGCAGAGCAATCAGTCCTGAGATGGTAGCAAGCGGTAACAAGTTGGAATGTCCCCTACTAAAAGAAGCTAGTCATAATAAGGGAAGTGGGCCCCTACGAGATTGAGATACAGATACATACATACACACACACAAACCACACAAAGTCACACTTTGCAAAGGACAGGAATAACATTCAGACATGGCCTACTCTGAAATAAAAAGTATTGAGGGAGGTTAGGGGGAGAGGAAGGAACATGCCAAGCCAGAACAAGCCAAACCACCCAACAAATTACACCTGTGGCCAGGCCGGGTGACACATGCCAGCACTTGGGGGCAAAGGAATGAACACTGCATTTGAAACAACTTATGCAAATAGACGACCGTACTTTTAAGGGGGGGGGGGATCCATCAGGTCTGAGATTGCCCCTGTACCACAGTATAGGAGCCAGGAAACTTCAGATTTATCTTGGAAATGGTATCCAGAACCAGGTGGCACGGACATGGAAGTTGGCTTGGGACAAAGGAATGCTAAAGGACATTTCCCTGGGTGGTACTTGTCCAAAAGTCCCCTGAACTCGGTGCCTCAGGCTGCAATAATGAGGGGTGACAGGCATCCCGAGTCACAAGCACCACATGGCTGGAAGAAGGGCAGGCAGGGAAGCAGCCTCCTCAACCCCACCTCCTTTCCTCCTCCCTCAGCCCCCTGCAGCTCCCAGATCCTCTTCTCCCCTCCCCCATCCTTTGCAGGGGTAAGGGTTTTTGCCTATGGCTTTAAGGAGGATGTGGCTGGCCCCAGCCGCCTCACCAGCCCCTTTGTCTCAGCTCTCTCCACCCCAACAGGAAAGGTAAAGGATTTTGCTTAGCTTGGCAATTACACCTTTAGCTAGCCTCCAGTTTGGAGCGGGAAGGAGCAAAAAGTGGTCCCAAACCATAAAAACGCACCCTTTTTCTTCAACAGGGAACAAAGGGGCTGGTGATGGAGGTGGCTCTGCAGGTAAAGGCACTTGCAGCGAAGGCTAATATCCAAAGTTTGATCTCCAGACCCACATGGTAGTGTAGTGCCACAAGTTTTCCTCTGGCCTTCACAATGGTGTCACATTCATGTACACACATACAAAATAAAGTATAAATTCTTTTAAAAAGGAAACAAAGACAGCCCTTCCTGCCAACTCCCCAGTCACAGACAATGATGGTTTAGAAATGCTTCCATAGCTGAGAATGAAACAAGAGTACCTCAGGAAGGCAGGAAAAGGAGGGGCTGGCAGAGGTGACTCTCCATTCCGCTAGGCACAGTATACCTCAACATTCGTGTGTTGGGGCCTACTCTAGGTGCTAGGCCATTGATGCTTATCCCCACCTACTTGAAGATGGGGGGTTGAAGCGTTCACAACCCAGCTTTGTCCAAAATCTTCGTGAGGATTGTTCCTATCGCGCAAAGGTTACAACTAAAGCACAGGGATAGACGGTAAGTGCTCTGCAATAGCATAACTTAAGCACAAATCCAAGATTGTGCTTGCCTGAAAGGGGCGGCCTGGCTTCCACTCATGTGCAGGGAAGAAATGGGGCCAACTACAGTAAGCACGGTGCTTGCTGTATTACCATCCCTACAAGTTTACCTTGAAGCTGATGATCTAGATGGCATCAGGTAGATAGATGGCTTGCCTGAAGTAAGGCTCTGGATTTGGGCCCAAGATACTAGGGTGGGGGAGGGGAGATGCCCAAATCTCAGTAAGTATATACCTGAGGTTTCCAAGGGCCGACACGCAAGACCCAACAGGCTTGCTGGACAGAGTAAGGTTGGTGATGAGTCCACCAAACCCCACATCATCCACAAGCCAGGCATCACTCTACTGGGCCCTGGATTCCTTCTAATTCAAAGGCCTCAGGCTGCAAAGCAGGAATCCCAGGGGATCGACGCCACATGCCTCAGGGATGCCGGGGGTGGCAGGCTGGAGACAGACGTGTGGAGAACTGGACCACAACCACAGGTGAGACTGGAACAAGAAACACTTCGCCTGTGGACAGTCCAACCTTGTGAACGCAGTAGGTCCCTCTGCTTTTCTACTATTGCACCTTCTAGCCTGGAGGTACTCCACAAGCACCCCTAAGCAATCCCTGAAGGTCAGACTATTGCCTACTAGGAAGTGGAGGCAGAGATTTTTTTTATTCAATTTAGGGCCTCGTGTATGGATTGGGAAGTGGGGCTACCTTACACCGGAAGACAGCTAAGAATGAAAAATGAGCCCCTAGGGCAGCTGGCACGGGGAGGCACCGCCCCCGGCTGGCTCCTCCCCGGCCAGGTGTAGTCAGCCAGCCCCTCCCAGCAGCCGGCCGCGCCTCAGCTCAGGTGGCTCTGCTCCGGAGGACCCCCCGGGACAACGCCCATCTCGCATGCCCACTCGCTGGTATCCACGGCGCCATCCAAACCCGGGGATGCCCGTCATGCTAGTTTCAAGTGAAAAGGAAACGCCACCTTAATGGGACAACTTCTTCGTCTACATCCCGACCATCCCTTCCTGAGGAGGCTCCGGGTAAGACACAAGCCAAGTAAGGACACTTGGTCCCTGGGAAAGCCACCACTCGGACCCCACTCCATTCCCAAGTATCTCAACTCTGGACTCCAGCAAGCTGTACGCCTCCTCCCCTCAACTCTTCAGAGTGGCGGGGTGCAGCGGGGGCGTTGCTTCCTCTGTCCCCGTGCCCGGTCCCCGTCCCGCTAAGCGCCACGCGCTCCGTCCCTCCAGGGTCTCCGCAAACTTCCAGGCGCCGCCGGGGGACCTGCCGTCCCTGCACCCACCCCACAGCCCCAGGGCCCAGGGCCCTGGGGGCGCCCTCGAGGCGCGGGGCGCTCACCTGTCGCGAGGCTGGTCGTGGCGCGGCGCCGCGATCGCGCCGCGGGTCGTGGCCGGCGGGCGGCGCGGGGTGCCGGGCTCGCGAATCTCCGGCGCCGATCACCTCGCTACGTTTACTTGGGCCGCTTAACCCCCGCGCTGCCGGCCGAGAGCGGCCGTGCGCTCGCCCTCGAGCCAGCGGGCCAGCCGGGTTCGAGAGGGGCACTCGGCGGGGGCGTCCACGCGGACTGAGGCTGCGAGGCGAGCGGCGGCGGCGAGAACGCTGCGAGCCGGCGCGCACGGGAGTGGGTGGGGAGGGGGCGGCGCCGCTGCCCTTGTAGCCCCGGCCCTCGCCCCGCCCTCGCCCGGGGGCGCCCCCGCCGCAGCCACTCACCGGCTGGCCGAGCCGAGGGGACGGGCGAGGGAGATTTGAAATCCCTCCCGAGCTTCCTCACCCCGCCTCCTCGGGTTCCGCCCCTGGCCCCCTACGCCCGGCCGGTCACCCTCCCGGATGATCCGAACCCACGGGAGCTCTGGATAGCGCCCAGCCCTCTACCTGAGACCCTCTATCGTGTGCCCCGACCCTGAGCCCACGCCCTCCACGCACACGCAAGCACACCCTCGCAGGTCTGGATGTGAGGCTCAGAGAGGGAAGAGCTCCCACTGGAGTCACACAGCAACCCTGCCTTGGCTTGTCCACCGCCCCTCTGCTGAAAGACTGCCCAGGACACTGTGGTGGTCCCCCGCTGGGAACCCCTCTACTGCTTCCTGCCTTCACCCAGCTTGGCCTTTGTCAGCCATCTTGAGGGGAAAGGAGGCCTTGGAGGAAGAAGCATTCGTGCTTCCTCTACTACCTGGGTTCCCGTGCCAGCTGGGGAGGAGCCCTACTCTGAAGCTTAGGGCTGCCTCCGCCATGTCCCTCTCTGAACCATTGGAGAAACACAAATATTTATGATTTTGTGATGGGCAGCTGGCGTTTATGTTTATTTTCTTGTTGTCTGTCTCCATACATTAGATGGTGAACACCAAAGTAGATACTAAATAAACATGTTAAAAGAATAAACAGAACGATTGCAAAGACTAACTACAAGGCAAAGCACGTGCAGGCTTGGCTTTCAAGAATCGCCTGCCCTGCTGGCTCCCTGACTTAACTCCAACCTCTTCTCCGCTTCGCTGTTCCTCCAACAAACCAAGCATTTTCCTTACGGTGGGAACTTTAGCCTCTTCCCTCCTCTTAGACTCTGTTTCCCCAGATCTGTCACAGGAAGACGTATTACTGCACTACACACAGCGGTCTTCGAATTTCTCTAGCTACTTGTGTTCCTATAAACACTGAAACCTATCTGAGATTGTTTTCTATCTCTTGTCTGCAGCTCCCGTGGGGCGGGGGGTGCCCACTCTAGGAAGATCGAAACCATACTTTTCTGTCTCTAGGGGACACAGGCCCATAGGGGGCCTAGCATCAAAAGGGACTAAGTGGACAGAAGTTTGTGGAATGAATGACTCTCCACAGGTTTCCCGCCCCCGGGCTCCAACTTGAGTTAAACACAGCTTTCCCCCTACACCTCTCCTTGGTTAGTGAGTAAATGAGCAAACGGTGGCTACTTTGGGAACTTCAATTTTCAACACTTTCTGGGTCCTGTTCCGCCTTAAAAAAAAAAAAAAAAAAAAGTAGACAGGCCAAGAGACAAAAGAAAAAAACACTTAAAGCAGAGTCCAGCCTGGGCCTGGTCCCATGGGGAGGAGAAACAGCAGGAACTTCTGAGCCATCCTGGCAACAGCTCTAAAGTGTGTCCCAGAAGATGGTGCAGAAAGAGGATGCCTTGAAGGAGTCCGGCTGAGCAAGTGGTCTTGGTCTGCCCTTTGGGAAGGGCCATAATGATCAGGAGAATCAGGGCCTGGTACCTCCTGCCTGGAGTCCCAGCACTGACAGGTAAGGAATTCAAGGCCTTCCTCAGCTACATGGCCAGTGCCAGGCAAGACTGGGCTGTCTGACACCATGTCTAAATCCCCCTCCCCCCACAGCCAGAAAAAAAAGTTCAGTAAAATGAGAGTACAAAAACTAGCTGCAGAGCTGGACAAATGACTCCATGGTCATGAGCACTGGCTTATCTTCCAGAGGAGCAGGGGTTCAGTTCCCAGCACCCACATGGCAGCTCGAAAGCATGTAACTCCAGTTCCAGGGGTTGTGACACCCTCTTCTGGCTTTTGCAGACATACATGAAAGTAAAACACCCATATACACAAAATAAAAGAAAGAAAAAAAGGAAGGAAGGAAGGAAGAAAGAGAGAGAGAGAAAGAAAGAGGGAAAGAGAGAAAGCCACCTCCAGGGGGATGTGGTGGTGCACACCTTTTAGTGCCAGCACTTCAGAGGCAGAGGCAGGAGGATCTCTGTGAGTTGGAAGCTGACCAGCCTAATCTCCATTGCCAGTTCCAGGTCTGCCAGGGTTAGGCAGTGAGCCCCTGTCGAAAGAAAGCCAATACTCTTCAGAGAGGACAAACCTTTACAGTTTGAGAATTCATTGGCTGTATTGATCAGCTCACCTGAGCCACAAGACTGTGACCCCTATCCTGTGAAAAGGCAGAGCAGGCCCATCAGCCTGAGCTTTGGAGAAGCGAAGCAAAAGCCAGGGAGAGGGAGGCATATATGGCATGACCTTGATGACGGACCCACCTGTCCCGGAGCCTTGCCAGCAGTGTTTACTATAAGGAGTAACTGACCACGACCATGACAACCATGATGGTATCGCTGTGCATTTGGGAGATGAGGGCTGGATGTGCAGCAATATGGGTAGAGGGCTTGCCTACCGTGTGCAAGGCCCAGGGCCTCCATCCCCAGCACCCTAGGCACACAGACATCTGTGACTGAAGCCCATTTGTTTTACGTTCAAGAGACAAAACAAGCTGGGGTTCGTGGCAGATGTTTTCAGCTCTAGCTCTTGGGAGGTGGAGGTGGCAGGATTGCCAGGAGTCTGAGGCAGACTGGCCTACAAAGAGAGTTCAGGATAAGCCTGGGCCTTATAGCGAAAAACCTCCCCCTCTCCTTCAACAAAGAAGAAGAAAGCCCATATACAAAGGGGTGTCCTTGCTCTTAACAAACAGGAAGCAACTAGGAAAAGAGTATAATGACACCTGTTTACCCTCTCATTCAGGAAAATAAATGCATATGTATGCAGGAGGCAGATTTGAAGGCAAATGAGGCAAAATATAGACAAATGGGTACTCTGCCATTAAAATTTTGTATATTCCTTGCACTCGTCTTATGACTTTTAAAAATTTGTGGCTTTGTGTTTTTTTTTAATCATTTTTCATTTATTTATGTGGAGCTGGAGGTCAGAGGACAATTTTTCAACTGTGTGGGTTCTGGAGAGTGAACTCAGCTCCTCACACTTGACAACAAGCACCTTTGCCCACTGAGCCACCTCAGGAGCCCTCTGAAGTTAAATTTTGGTATTCAAGAGCCAGGGGTGGTGTACACCTTTAAGTCCCGACACTTGAGAGGCAGGAGAATCTCTGTGAGCTCAAGGCCAGCCTGGCCTGCATTGGGAGTTTTAAGTAAGCCAGTGATACATAATGAGACCCTGTTTCAAAAATCAAACAAACGAAAACTGTCTTATTCATAAGGGAGTCTATCGAATAAAGTGATATCGTAAAACATACATTAAAACTATGCCTGCTAGTAAATTCAGCACTTGGGAGGCGGAAGTAGGAAAGATTAGGAATTCAAGTTCCCCCACAGAACAAGGCCATTCTACTCTACAAGAGCCTCTGCTCAAAAAAAAAAAAAACAAAAAACAAAAACAAAAGCAACCAAGAGCGGAAGAGATGGTGCAGCAGTTCGGAGCACTGGGTGCTCTCCCGACGGGCCAGGTTAGATTCCCAGCACCACAGCCATGTCTAACTCCAGCTCCAGGGAATCCAACATCTTCTTTCTGGCCTCCTCAAAAACCAAGTACACATGTGGAACTCGGGCAAACATACAGGCAAAAGACTCATGCATATAAAATACAAATTAATCTTAAAACACAAACAAACAAATATGCTCATCAGAGAAAGACACTTGCCACCAAGCCTGGGATCTGAGTGTGATCCCTGGGACCCCCACATACATGATGGAAGGTGGAAACAAACTCCAGCAAGTTGTCCCCTGACCTCCACACCTGTGCTGTGGCACACACACCCATACATACACAAGATAAATACACAAATGTGGGTTTGCAATTTGTTTGTTTGTTTTATTTAAGTATATTAAAGCTAGGTGTCACACACCTGCTATCCCAGCAATCTGAACACAGAGGCAGGTGGATTAGTTGGGTTTCAAAACCAGCAGGGCCCGGTCTCAAGCAACAGCAAGAACCAAAAAACAGGTGTGGAGGGCACCTGTCACCACAACACTTGGGAGACAGAAGCAACAGGATCTCCACAAGTTCCAAGCCAAAGCAGCCACAGCTACAGCAAGACCCTGCCCCAAAACAATGCAAAACAGCAACCACCCTTTCCTCCACAGCTGAGTATAGTCACCCCACTGTTGTAATCTCAAGTCTTGAGTGGTGCAAGCGGATCAGGGTTCAGGGCCATCCTGGGCTACATGACACTGTCTAAAAAGAAAGTTACTTATGCGTACACACTTCCTACTCCCCCTTCTGCTGCTGAATGAATACCAATAGACTTCCGCTCAAGCCATGGGTCAATATCTGTGTTCAGTCCTGCTATCTTTGGACAGCTGAGAGTTTTTATTTGTTTGTTTGTTTGTTTGTTTTTGTTTTTCAAAACAGGACTTTTCTGTGTAGCTCTTGCTGTCCGAAACTCATTCTGTAGACCAGGCTGGCCTCAAACTCAGATATCTACCTACCTTTGCCTCCGCAGCGCTGGGACTAAAGACATGTGCCACCACTACCCGACTTAATGATTAATTAATTAATTAATTTAGCAGTGCTGAGAACTAAACTCAGAACCTTGCACATGCTAGGCAAGCACTCTACCACTGAGCGACATTCCCAGCATAACCGTGAAGTTTTTGACAATGCCTAATACATACTGGTGATCACTACGAGGTGAGGATTTTAATGAGTATCTGACCCTAGATTCTATATGCCTCAGTCGTCCTTAAAGCAGAGATGGTAATTTTAACTACTTCAAAGTTTGTTGAAGAATTATGTGATTAAATACATGGAAGGTATCTTACACAGTGCCTGGCTCATTGAAAGCTCATTAAAATGTTGTCATATAAAACCACAGTGCCATAGGGCAATAAAACCAGACATAATAACCCATGCCCGTCATTCCAGCACTCCTGAGAGAGACAAAGCCAAGCGGATCAAAAATTCAAGGTGGGTGATCAGGAATGGTGGCCCATGCCTTTAACCCCAGGCAGCTCCCAACTGCTCATAACTCCTG